ATGTTATCAATTTATTAGATATTCATCTTTCATAATCCTTAATCTTGATTGATTCAAATAATTAAATACATTTTTTTAATTGATCTAACATTTAGAATTTTAAGTTGATTTATGAGCTCATCAAACTAATTTTAAGATTCTGATTAAAAATTAAGTACATTAGAGATTTAAATTAAATGAAAATTTTGATCTTAATGAAAGTTTATTTGAATACACTAATTGCATCCGAATCTTAGTTCAACGCAGGCCAATAAATATATATTCATATGGCCAGAAATATAGCTTGGTATCAAAATTTCATTCATTTAATAAATTATTAAAGCAGTTTTTAATTATATCGAAAGCCAATAAAAAGAATTATTTCAATAAAGATACTGCAAATAATAAGCAATTTGCAGAAAATTTGTCTATTTGAATAATTTCTAGAGTTGAAATATTTTCACTGAATTAATTAAAAACTTATCCATGAAATATGAATGATTAAGATAGTTTAATAAGATTAATTGAATTTATATATTGAGAAACTTCTAGTATCAGAATTTATAAGGAGTAAAATTCCGCTGAAGAAATTATTGTAAAATTAAATCTGCTTTTTTGATTTTTCATTTTTAGTTTTTTTTTATTATTTGTGAATTTATACATTTTTTTCAAGACTTATTCTTATATAAAACTATAAATTAAATTATCTGTTCATACCTTAATTTTTTGAAGAAGAGTATCATTATGTTAATAATTTCTATCCCTTATTAAATTTAGTTTCTTAGATGGCACTTGAGGAAAGTTATTAATATTTTAATAATATGGATTTTTTTATTTAAAATACTAAGGTTTGTTAAGAATCATTATTATGGAAAAATGGTATGATAGAAATAGAAGTTGATAAGTAAGATTTTATCAATGAATCCCTTGGAAAAGTTAATATCCTAATTAAATTAACCTCAAATAGATAAATATAATATTTAAAGGATGGTGCAATTTTAAGAATGTAAAGATTATTGATAATTTTTAAAGAGATTAGTTGATGTATTCTGATTCAAATCCTAATTTATTGAATAATTATGATTAAATAAAATATCTGAAATTTGAAGGTCAATATGGATTGGACTGTAAAAAATTTGGGAAATGGAAAACAATTTGGAACGGAGAAGTTCTTAAAGAATTAGGTGGATACTATTAAAATGGATTAAAATAAGGTTTATGGAAAGAGTTGATTCGGAATTATTAAAGGTAAAAGATTGAATTATCTTGGATCTAGTTTAGCTAAAGTATATGAAAAGGGAGCATACTTGAATGGTTAAAAGTATGGAATGTGGAATTATATCTATAAAAATTAAAATATGTAATATTAATTATTAATTATTAAAGAGGTGGGGGATTTTACAATGAATAATTGAAAAAAAAGGGGAAATGGATAGAATTGAGTGAAGGTTTCTGTAATATGTCCTAAATTACATATAAGGGTGAATATCATAAATGCAAAAAAATAGGCATATGGAATATTTATTTTCTTAAAGAGTTAATGTAAACTAAAAAAATAATATTTAGTGGAGGGGGATTATATGACAGTAATGGCATTAAGGAAGGAAAGTGGATAGAATTAAGCGAAAGGTCTTGTAGCCATTCTTAAATCACTTACAAGGGTTAATACAAAAATGGTAAGCCGATAGGTATATGGAGTACTTGGATTCGAAGAGAATATTAGAAAGATTTTGAATAGATGTAAGGTTTAAAAATGAAATTTTTTAGTTGCAATGGATAATATGATTAAAATGGTGAAGGTAAAAAGATTGGGATGTGGATTGAGTTGATTGAAATGTTTAAGGAGGATTCATAAGTTACTTATAGTGGTTAATATAAAGATGGAAATAAAACAGGTAGATGGGATATTTTTTTTGAAAAAGAAGCGATGTAAAATTTTAAGAAATCTAATTACCTAGCGGAGGGGGTACATATGATGAAGGAAGTGGTATCAAGATTGGAAATTGGGTTGAGGTTTGTGATAAATTTGATAATTTGACTCAGGTTACTTAAAATGGTCAATATAAAAATGGAAATAAAGTAGGTAAATGGGACATTTTATTTGAAGAAGAAGTAATGTAAAATTTTAATAAATCTAATAACTTAGCGGAGGGGGTACATATGATGAAGGAGATGAAGGTATCAAAATTGGAAATTGGATTGAACTAAGCGACGAATTTTGGAGGGACTCTTAAGTACTTTGTAAAGGCAACTATAAAAATGGAAATAAATCAGGTAGATGGGATATTGAGCATGAATTCGAATAATGGTAAAATACGAAAAGTAATAGTTTTTAGTGGTGGTGGATCATATGATGAGAAAGGTGAAGGTATTAAGCTTGGAGAATGGATTGAATTAAGTGATAGTTTTAATAGTGGTTCTGAAGTTATCTATAAAGGGGAATATAAAAATGGAGTTAAAGTAGGTAGATGGAATATCAAATATAGGGAGAAAAAAATGTAAAATATTAAAATATTATTGTTTTAGAGGAGGAGGATCTTATGATGAAAAAGGTCAAGGTATTAAAATTGGAAACTGGATAGAAGTAATTGATGGATTTAGTTTTGGTTCGGAAATCACCTATGATGGATAATATAAAAATGGTATCAAAGTTGGTACATGGGTTGAAATGAATAAAATGAATGACTGGTCACGTAAAGAAATGATATATGATGATTGAATGATTATATTAATAAGAGCAGGATTTAATTCCTAAAATAATTAAAACCCAATTTGTTTATGAGAAATACTAATCAGGCGATATTGGCTTATTTTTTGTTGTTCCTTATCTATTCAGACTTTAGAACCAAAAATCAAATGATTAAGCAAATATCTTTACATATTATCAAAGTAATTTCCTTTATTAAATAGACTCAAGGAATCTTTAACTATTAAATTGAGAGTATAAAACTTGTTTTATGTTAGAATAATGTATCTCAATTGGACTATAATTTTCTAATAATTTATTTTTCTTTTCATAAAAATATATTGTCAAACGAAAATATATTTTTAGCTAATAGCTGCAAAAATCAAACATTTTTATCTTATGATATAGCATAGTCAGGCTATTATTTTAGTAATGAAATGATAGGGAAGATGTCAAAAAAATAGAAAAGAATATATGTTAATTCAAACTAGGCTATCAACTCAATATCTTAAAAATATTTATTAATATTTATGATTATTAGGATTAATTTATTGAGTTATTAAATTCAATTTGAGAGAAATTAGATATCTTTAAAACTTCGTTTTATTTTTGCAATTCTTATTTTTCTGCTCTTTAATACAAAAGGAGAAACTAAATGATAAACAGTTTTATCAAATAGTATAATTCTCTTTAAACACATTATTATGAGCTTTTTTGCAATGTAAAGTCCGGGCTAACTATTAAATCAATACTCGTCTTAATCCATCAACAAAATATT